GTTTCAGAAATCTCAGGGATGTTGGCGTGCGTGCTATTGGGCCCTGAACGGTGCTGATTTTACACTGTTTTCAATGGGGCTTGAATTAGTGGACTGGACCCTCAAGTCAACAGAGAAATCTTAACGTGCAGTAGGCGTATGGATGTTGACATGGGCTGGTACCTTGACTTTTGGCGTTTCTCTTAATGCAAGTGGGATGCGGGGCTTCTACTAATGCTCAATTTGACGAGTTCAACAGCGAATGAAGATGGTTATTGCAACTGTATGAGTTGATTTTGGTGATGGTATTTATGATGGTCACGATGGTAATTTGAGTGATGAAGATGTTCGTTTTGGTGATCCTAACAATGACTGCAGTGGCAATGATGCTGCAATGTGGTGACAGAAATAATGACGAGGATAATGATTTAAATGACGATGACATTGAGAAAGTGAAGAATGGATTTAAGAAGCTCTGAAGGGAACCTAACACACTTGAGACATTGGTGATGATCAACCTTGAATCTTGTGATTTCCGTCGAAACTACATGTCCTTGCATGAATGACCAGAACACGTTGTTGACCAAACTAGCACACCTATGGCTAACTTGCACATGTGCCGAAGAGAGCATCAAAGACGGTGATAAAATTGCTTATTCATTTCTTAATGCTATATCGACAAGCCATAATAAAGGTAAACATGTTATCCTCGCAACGAAAACACCCAAAACAAGAAGGTTACATTTTGTATAGCCCCCGGGAGCTTCAGAAAAAAACACACCATGCTGTCTTGCGAATAGAACACCGACACCGCGACCACATCCACAAACATCGGTCCTCACGTTCTGACTACCCATGATGCCGACGCGTCAATCTCTCCCCTGGGCTGGCTGTACTTTCCGCCCTGGTAAGCCTCGCCTGGGCAGCGCTCGGACGCCGCCAAAATGGCCCCCGGCACAGTGTTGCACCGGCACGGGCCGACAGATCCCTTCTCCTTTTCTTTCTTCTTCCTTGACCCCACGAATGCAAGTTAGTGACCAGGGGTGCAAGGTCTAGCCCCAGGGGTGGAAGGTCGACCCCATGGGTGCTCAATCGGCAAGCGGAGACATCGTGGGACCACGCGGAGATGAAAGACTTACTAGTTGTTTTTGAGTTCCAAATCCAATTGATTTCAAAGTGTTTTTCCCCATCAGCTGCGAGACAGTTAAATTTAACATCTAAATCTGCCAGGATTATGTACCGGTAGATAATATAAAAATCAGAATTGAACTGGTTTTGTCAGTGTGAGGAACTGGTCATGGATTTCGGGTCACAAGCGTGAACATTGGTTAATTAAATGCTAAGTGTTCGTGTCAGTGGATTTCAAGAAAAAGACTTGTACAAATCTATAATGGATATCACACCTATTTTGACCTACTTGAGCCGTTACATGCATTATTTTGCAAAACGTAACCTAATCTATAAAGCCATGGTCGTGCTAGCACACAACCGTCCAGCAACAAACATGCGCAACAGCTGTGTACAAGACTCGTTGGTGCATGAATTCAGCGCAGATACATGTACTTGTAGCAGATATCATACGTTCCCATTCAAAAGTATTGCTACTTAGCAATCATTTAAGAATATCTAATAGATAACATTTTGTAACCAGCTAGGGGACGTGCGCCACTGACATGGATTGTTAATCATGCTTCAGCTCTTTAACACAGCCGTCTGTACATAGACATGCAGGAAAGCTTTCTCACTTCCAGTTCTTATACTGCTGACTCAAATATTTTTGTCTTTTAGATATTTCAAGTAACCTATATTGCCATGTGCATATACATTTTTCCTGCAGCGACCACGTTTGTTTCCGACGTCGTGGTCTATGAATTAAGCCGTGAGGCCGGCCACTGCGCAATGTCAACAACATGATATCATCTCAGGCCCTGACTAAGAAAACAAACGACCTCCTCGGGGTAAATGTACACCACGCCCCGCCCTTCTCCAACTTATTTGCAATCGTAACCTGGCGTTTTTTGGATGGTTTTTAGCAAAACACTGGCATGGAGATTTAAAATCCAACATTTGTTACCAATACCTGAAATTGAGCCAATTGCAATAGAGAGCAAAGCAGCGAAAGTAACAAGATTAACACAACAGTAAAAAAAAATAATAAAAATAAAGTCAACGACATCACTGGTCACAACCTCACAAGGGAAGACACAATCCGAACGAAAATGACATCTATTCAACAGTGAGTTAAACTCGCCAACAAGAGCAAAAGTCTACCTCAAACTTCGTCTGATGGGCAGGCGAAATTGGAAATTGTAATTAAATTAGCACCGCCGTTTGATTGACCTTTTGGGTCCACGTACACTAAGATGAGACTCGAAGAAATATGAACCGGATTATTAAGTATACCAACAATGATTCATTTTGCAGACACACGATTTCGTCTAAAAACGCCAAAGCAGTTGACGCTCGACCTTTTCCATCCACGGCTGAAATTTCAACAACCTACATTACCTATATATGTTATTAAGGATAAGCTAAATATACACCAAAATTACCAACAACTGTTGTAATTCACAACAGTTATTATTTAATAAAATATTACCGGAGAATTTTAGAAACTAGATGTTAGGCCTAAGTGTATAAGAGCAGCTCCTGACAAGTAAAGATAAACATTAATTAACCTGGTCCGTCAGAGAACCATGCCATAGAGGATCCTTTCGAGGGTATTCTGTTTAACCGTATGTTTCTATCTCCATATTTAACCCTAACACTCCTCAGTCCTCCAACAGGTAAAGGATTGAGGAGGGTTAGGGTTAATGGAAAGAGACTTGTGATGGAGTAATGATTACATGTACAATCAACTGGGATACCGCACCTTGGGTCCGGAAGACTGCCGCGGCTCCGATCAAAGCGTGTTTCTCCAAGTAGTATCGGCCAACCAGATTGAGCATATTACGGTGCTGCATGGAAGGAGTGCACGCTAGAGTTGGGGGGGTGTTAAGCTTCACACGGAGGGTGGTAATATAGCGATGGCGATGTGGCTTGTTGCTGGTTCTGCTGACACGACCCAAATGACAACAACCTGGCCCAGTGCTTGCTTTATACTGTCAACGAGATATGGTATAGATAGTGGACCTGTACACATATCCGGTCTGCACGGAGTATGAGTGTCGATGAGGGGCCGAAGGAGACACGTGGAGGTCGTGCACCCAATGGAATCACCAAGTGTCCCATGAAGTATCACGTTATTGTTCCCAAATCATCATCTTCCGGTCTTTCCGTGTCCCGCCCCCGTTCGCGGCGACGTCTGGGTAGCTTCACGTGATGGCAGGAGCTTGCTGACGTCATTGAGCTTTTGTTCACTTAATTGGAAGGGTCCGGTAATTCGGAGGAAATCCAGGCTCCTTATCAGAAAAACCAGGGTATTTGGGTCTTTTTTATGGTAAAAACAAATTATTTTTAACCCTTTTTTGTAAACAAGAATTATCGCCAGATGGTAAAACTGAACGAGGTTAAGATGGAAAGTGGTGCCAAGAACAAAGTATGCGGGGCTTACCCTTGCCAACCACGCTTGCCAATTATCCAACTCCGTCAATTTCGTTGTGATTTCTGATATTCAGCATCAATACAAAAAGTTATACGAGTCACACTGTTCGCACAAATTCCAAGCATTAACATTGCTGATAGTATCACATCAACGAAGAACAAAACCTCGCATTAAAATCTGCATAAACAAAACGCAACGGTACGCCAAACTCCACATCGTTGTTCACGTGTCATTTTTCGGCCTTAACACCGCACCACAAGGATCAAAAACATTCTGCTCTTTCAAAGAGCCTCAACATATCTTACGTCAAAGAAAGACTAAGTTTCTATTTTCTAGTTCCTAAGTTTTCTATTCCATTTTCGTCCAGTTCCACTGCAGTGTAAAGATGACCTCATCTTTCT